TTTTCTCTAGCTGTGGAGAGTGGAGGCTATTTTTTGTTGCAGTGCGCGGGCTTCTCATTGTGGTGGCTTCTCTTGTCATGGAGCACGGGCTCTAGGCACGTGGGCTTCAGTAGTTGTGGCTTACAGGCATACTTGCTCCACGGCATGTGGAATCTTCCCGGACCAGGGCTTGAACCCATGTCCCCTGTGTTGGCAGACGGATTCTTAACCACTGCACCACCAGGGAAGTCCTCTATCTTAATGTTTTATACTTACAGTTGACCCTTGAACAACGCAAGTTTGAACTGCACGGGTCCACTTATGCACGGATTTTTTTCAATAAATATGTAGTACAGTATGATACAATCTGCCGTTGGTTGAAACCATGCAGTTGGAAGCAGAACTGTGGATATAGAGGGCTGACTATAAAGTTATATATGAATTTTCAATTGCACAAGGATCGGTACCTCTAAAGCCCATGTTGTTTGTGGGTCAACTGTAGTGTTTCCTTGCATTGTTTCTCACGAGATGTGTGTGTGTGTGTACATGTGTCTGTGTGTGTGTGTATATATATATAATTTTTTTCTAAGATGTATATTTAAAAATTTTTTGTTGAAAACAGTTTTTTGAGGGTATTTAGGAAGGTTTGTATTTTTTTTAATCTAGTACTTACACCTTTTTGAATGTCCTTAGTCCTCTGTTTTGTTATTTGACTTTTATTATCAGGTTTATCAGATTTTTTTCATTATCCTTAAACACCCATCTATTGCCTATTCCCTATACGAGTTTTTTTCTGTTTTCCTTTTCCCATTTTCTAGTTGTAGTAGTTCTACTGTGTCACAATATATAACTGTTGTACATTAGTTTTCTACTCTCATTCCCATCTTTGTTTTAGTCTTACATGACATTTATAGATTATTAAATGCTCACCATCAGTTATTTTGTCAATGTTGCTTGTTACTGTTTGGTTAGATAAAGTTTATCCTCTAGTAGATTCATCAGGAAAGACTGATAAGTACAGCATTCCCTTAGTTGTCGTATGTTGAAACTTGTTTTGTCTGTAGCGCTGATAGTTGAAGGATAACTTAGCTGGATATAAAATTCTTGGTTTACCCTTTTCTTTCATTGAGTTTTTAAAAAATGCTTGTTCATTTATCAACTTGCTTTATATGTTGGCTTTGAAAAGTCAGATGCTAATCTAATTTGTTATAGTAAGTTATTTGTTTTTCATGGAGGCTTTGAAGATTTTTTTCCATTTGTCTTTAAAGTGTAATAGTTTCATTAGAACAAGTGTCAGAGCGATTATTCTGGGCTAATTTTCCCAAGTACCTGGTGGACCCTTTCAATGTATAGATTCACATCTTATTTTATTTGTTTTCTCAATTTAGGTTTAAATATTAGTTCTGTTCCATTGCGTTTCCCCTCTCCCCTTCCCCCAATTATATGTATGTTTCTTCTTCGCTTGTCTTTCATATTAACCATTTTCTTTGTGATCTCTTTTATTTCTTTCTTCATCATATTTTATTCTCTTCATTGTTTTCCTACCTTTCTTTAATGCCACTTACTAGATTTTCATTTGAACGTATTCTCCTTTGGGCGCCTAGTAATTGAGTTTTCATTTCTGAGATGATTTTCTTTTCCTTTTTCTTTCTGAGTTTGATCAACTCCCTCTTCATTTTTTCCTACTTTTTGTCCATTTCTGTTTTTAACTTTTAAATTTCTTATTCAGAGTGTTTTTTCATATCCCCAAATCTTGTTTGAGTATATTTAATTCAGGTTGGAGTGTTGTCTTATAGTTTTCTTCTGCATCATGGGTGTTTGGGGTAATTTTCAAAAGCTGACTGATGTGTGACTCTTCTTTTTTGTAGTAACTTTATATAGACTTATTCACTTTTTTCCTATTTATTTTGTGGCTCTTAGATATTTTAAAGGTTCCTAATTCCATGGCATTTTCTTCTGTCAGTATAGAAAAGTCCAGTTGTTGTTTTTTTTTAGTGGATTTGTGTATGTATTTGTGTTTGTGGTAGGGGAGAGCTTATTTGTCCTCTGGGTTTTTTGTTTGCAGGTAAATAAATTTCCCCCTTCTACTTCCTTTCCTTTTTGTCACCTAATTGCCAAATGGATCCTGTCTCTTTTTTGCCTTTTTCTTCCCCAGAGACCATGCATTTCTAACACTACACCTTAAATCATTCCCCTTTCCTATAAATAGGGCTCTGATCTACAAGAAAACTTTTTCAATATTTTCACACTTAGGGTGGACTTTCTCTTTCTGGAGGTGGTTTTACAGCAATTTTAGGCCTGCCACTAGCTCCCCTGTTCTCTCTGACATGCAGTTTTTCTCAGAATGCCCTTGGCTTGGCACAGAGGGTTGCAGTAACAAGATGAGAGATCACTACTGAGATTTGGTATGTCTTCTTTTTTTACTTACAGGTAATTTGGAAGTTTGGGCATTCTCTGTCTTCTACTTTTGTTGAGGGCATGGTTAGGCTATTGTGTGGTTTTACTTGTTCTTTTTTAAAAATTCCATATTTAAAAAAAATTTCCCCTTAGTTTTTAATTTTTTAAAATTATTTATTTATTTATTTATTCTGGCCACACTGTGTGGCATGGGGATTGAACCCACGCCCCTGCATTGGAAGCGTAGAGTCTTAACCACTGGACTGCCAGGGAAGTCCCCCATATTGTTTTTGAAGGATATGTGGGAAGATGTGAATTTAGGCAGTCATCATTGTCCTTGGCTACCCTGAAGTCCAGGCACTGTTATAGACACTTTATAAATATTAACTCATTTTATCCTCTCAACACCCTATGACACAGTGCTGTTGCTATTCCCATTTTATAGATGAGTTAACAGTTTAAATAACTAGCCTGGGATCACACAGAGCTGGGATGTGAACCAAAGTAGTCTGGTTCCAGAGTCTGTGCTCCTACCCATACAGCTTTGCCACCACATGCCAGCGATTCTCAGCTTTTTTACTTCTGGGGTCTCCTCTTTTTTTTTTTTTAAACCATAAACCCAATATTCTAAAGAGAATTGTTTCCTAACCTGTATTCATCATACAATAATTAGTTTTCCCTTTTTGTTGTAGAAGAAAACATATATGCCACTCAGCTTCAGACTACCACACCAAGTAACATAATTGTTTTGTAGCCAAAAGCAAGAGAGATTTGACATTTTAACTAGCTTATACAGGTAGACAAATTGAAGATTAACGTAAGATTTTCACTATACTTTTTGAAAAGTTAAAAGTAACTGGAAGCCTTCTGTTATTGCTTTTTGATTCCCTAGGGCTGTGGGGACTCAGGTGGGAACCATAGATTAAAGAAGCTGTGGACAAGATTAAAAAAAAAAAAAAGGATAGTTTAGTAATCATACTGTATGCAAAAGTATTGGATGCTGGAATGATAGGTATCTTATAAATTGAGGTTGAGTTTTCCCTGGGCAAAATTCTGCCTCGATCTTCTGACAAGCTCTCAGAGGGAGTAAAGAGCAAACTAATATTTTTTTCCTTTTGATCTGAACCCTGTGATTTTTCTCTAGGATAATCAGAATGATGTTTAGATTTTCCCCAAAATGCTAGTAAAATGCTATAGGAAAAATTAAAAAGCAAATAAATTTCAGTTAATGTAAACAACAGGAATGTTGATAGACTATGTCTAGATTCTTGCCTTTTCTGATTATTTCTTGTCAGAACAATCTTATAGTTATTGTCATGATTGTCAGTAATATCTAACCATTAGTGCTTAATATGTACCAGGCACTCAGATGATTAATCATCTTATATTTAACATGTACCAGGGCTTCCTTCCCTGGTGGCGCAGTAGTTACGAATCCGCCTGCTAATGCAAGAGACATGGGTTTGAGCCCTGGTCCAGGAAGATCCCACATGCCGCGGAGCAACTAACCCCGTGCGCCACAACTACTGAGCCTGCACACCTAGAGCCCGTGCTCCGCAGCAAGAGAAGCCACTGTAATGAGAAGCCCACGCACCACAACGAAGAGCAGCCCCCACTCGCTGCAGCTAGAGAAAGCCCGCGCGTACCAACGCAGCCAAAAATAAATAAAAATGAAAAAATAAATAAATTAAAAAAAAAAAGATTTAACACGTACCAAATCTAACACTTGATTTTTCCTCTCCCCACCCTTTTTCCACATCTCGTACATGGTACCGCCAACCTTCCACTTGCCCAGCCATGATACCTAGGAGCTGTTCTTGCTCCTTTCTTTCTTTCGCATCTCATATGTAATAAATTAGGAAATCCTGTTGGCTACCCTTAAAATATTCCCAGTTGGACCGTTTATCCCTACTCCTTCCACCACCTTGGTCCTTGGTACTATCATCTCTTGCCTGGATTATCACAATAGCTTATTTAACTGATCTATGTGCTTCTACCCTTGCATGATAGCTTGAAGATGATTTAAAAATATAAGTCAGATCACATTGCTCCTCTGCCTAAAACCCTCTAGTCCTTTCCCAGTTCACAAAAAATAAAAGCTGAAGTTTTTACAGTGTCCTCTGAGGCCCTGCATCATCAGGCTTTTCATTACCTCTCTGGCCTCATCTACTGCTCTGTCCCTTGCATGTTTTGCTCCAAGCATACTGGCCTCTTGAGTGCTTGAGCATGTCAAATACGGTCTGCCCCCGTGCCCTTGATCTTGTTCCTCCCTCTGCCTGATATGTTCCTTTCCTATATGGCTGCATGTTGCTGCCTCATTTCTTCCAGGTCTGATCAAATGTTACCTTATTGCTAAGGCCCTCCCCACCACCCTATATAAATAGCATCCACCTCAGCCCCAACCCCACTGAGCATGCCCCCAGCCCCATCTACTGTGCTAGCAGGATCCCAGGCTCCTACCGTGGGGAAGACAAGGAGGAGGCAGTGACCAAAGAGAGGAAGGGAAAGGGGTTGGGTTGGTGTTTTTATTTGCTACTCTGCTAATAAGCATTTTAGCTGTGACGGTGTGGGTAGTGCCGACAGAGTCCTTTGTTTTTCATTGGTCTATTTCTCTCTCTCTCAAGATGGTTTCACCCAAATATCACTGGCGTGGAGGCAGAAAACCTACTGTTGACAAGAGGAGTTGATGGCAGCTTCTTGGCAAGGCCCAGTAAAAGTAACCCTGGAGACTTTACACTTTCTGTTAGGTAAGTTGGAAGAAAAAGAGAGAATCCTGAGAGTGTTTTCCAGGGGGGAAATGTTAGGACCACATTTGGACAACTTGTGACCCTCATTTAGAGTCTGAAGGTCTGCCTGCTGCACCGTGGGTGAGGCCTTGCCAGTGCCCTGGCCCACAGATCAGGGGTGATTCAGGCCTGCTGTGAGGTTCAGGACGTGGCCTCCTGAGAGTGAGAGGCTCGGGGAGTCAGCATAAGGGGCCTGAAGTTGGACTTTTTCTCTCTTGAGAGACCACTGAGGATGAGCTGGAGCATAACATGACAAGTTCTTAAAGCCTGGGTCGATCCTGCTTCAATCCAAAACAAGGCTCAATCCTTGTTCCCTGCATTTTTCCTTTCCCATCTGTTGATTACTGAATGGGAAAAATACTTTCTAAGAGTTTCTTCAAACAGCCTCACAGACGTAGAAAACAAGCTTATGGTTACCAAAGGGGAAGGTGGGGTGGGGGAATAAATTAGGAGTTTGGGATGAACAGATGCACACTACTATATATAAAATAGATAAACAACAAAGGCCTACTGTATAGCACAGGGAACTATACTCAATATCCTGTAATAGCCTATAAGGGAAAAGAATCAGAAAAAGTATGTAACTGAATCACTTTGCTGTACACCTGAAATGAACACAACATTGTAAATCAATTATACTTTAATTTAAAAAGAAAAAAGAAAGAAAGAAAGAAGGAGAAGAGTTTCTTCAGATCACTTTTCTTTTTCAAGAAATAAAACATCACTGAGGAAGTTGTGGTCCCGTTTGTTCCCCTGCCCAGTCCCATTCCCCTCCCTCTTTCCTCAGAGGAAACCACCATCAAGAGGTTGGTATATCTCCTTCCTGAACATGTTTTTATACTTGTACTGCATTTGTACTATGTGTGAATGATATGAGGTTGGTTTGTGTGTTTTTAGAATTCATATCCATGGCTTTATAATGTATGTATTCTGAGACTACCTTTAAATTTTTTTTGAGTTCTGTGCTGATACATATAGATCTAATTATTAACTTTAATGGCTATATAATATTCGAAGGTATGCATATACCACAGTTTATCCCATCCCCTATTGTTGGACACTGAGTTGTTTTTAGTTTGTTTAAAATTGTTTTGAACAGTATTGGCAACGTCTGTTACATGTCTCTTTGGACGCATGTGGGAGAGTTTTTCTAGAAATTGACTTTCTCTTATATACTCATTCTCCTTACTCTAGCTCATTCCAGGAGCCAGAACTGAACTGCTCTATGAATTTGCTTTTATTATTATTACTTTTAAATAAAGAAGTAAGGAAAACATGTTCTGAGGATTTATTTAGGACTCCTTCGGGATTTGGGAAGTCCCTTTTTGGTATCGATTAGTTTCTCAAGGAGCTCTCATTGTTGGCTTTTACTTCCGTTTTGCTACAAGGAGAGGGCAGAAGCCTTCATGAATTTTCCCAGGCTTATCCTAGCACAGACTTCTAATCGACAGTTGAGTGACATTTGACCTGTAAGAGTTTGGATGGAGATTATATAATAACAACAATGATGATGTTGAGGAGGTGGATGATAGCAGACGTTATTGAGGGCTTGATATATTCCAGGCCATCTTGCTAAGCACTCTCCACATATCATTTTATTTAATCTCTCCAACAACCTATGAATAAATGCCACTATTATCTTCATCTTAGAGCTGAGTAAGCTGAAGCACAGAGGTTAATTTACAAAGCTGGTTTCATAGCTAGTAAGTGGCAGAGCCGGGACTACAGAACTGGTGAGGTTTTTTTTTTTAATTTTTCCTCAGCTTTTTATCTTGAGAAATTTCAGCCCTATAGGAAAGTCAAAAGATGAGCACGGTGAATACCCACCCACATTCCCTTTACCGGTTAACATTTTGCCATCTTTGCTCTTTTTCTCTGAGTGTGTGTGTGTATGTGTATACTCTCCCCTCCCCCAACCTTTTGAAAATAAGTTGCAGATGTCAGGATGCTTATTTTTACCTCTGAGTACTTCAGTGTGCATGTCCTATGAACAAGGACATCCTGTGTAACTACAATATCATGATTATATGAGAAATTTTAAGTGATTCCATAATGTTATCTAACACACACAGTCCATATTCAAATTTCTCTCGTCATTTCAATAGTGGATTTTGAAGCCATCCCTTTATTTCACATCAGGAAGCACATAATATCTGTTTGCCCCATCTTCTGCAGTGTCATTGCTTCTAGGCCCTTATAGTAGACAGAGCTGGGAAATAAATACTTATATATTTAAAACCAAATTTTAAATATATCAGTATCAATAAATATATAAATATATATCAGACAAGTCTGATAGCTCTAGTTCAGCCCAGTTTCCTTACCTTTTCCCATTCCGTATTTGTGTTTCCCTTCTGAAGAGAGAACCGTGTTTCACAGCAGCAGCAGTGTATGACCTCATTTGCCCAATCTTCTAATACAAAGATAGTTTCAGAATTACTATACCATTATCATTTCTAATTACAAACCCATTAAGTAAAGTTCATGATTTCTCTGGAGTGTTTCTGTTCACAGCATATATCCCACTAAGGGTGTATAATCTGTACTGTGTTCAAAAGCTATGGGAATTAATTTTCTGTGTAGTTACAAACTTACTGCAAAGTTAGAGTCATTTCTTTCTTTCTGTATTCAGTTTTTTGGTTTTGTACTCATTTTTTTGATCCTTGTTGATTTTATTTTTTGAATATGTGAAACATTTACAAGATTTAAAAGTCAAACTGTATAAAAAGGTATATTCTGACAAACCTTATTCTTATCCCTACCCCGTGTACCTTATTTCCATCCCTGTAGGTAACCAGTTTTATTAATTTATGGTTTATCTTTCTGTGTTTCTTTTCACACATGAAGTGGAATACTAAGTCTATTTCTTTGTAGTTCACTTTTTTCACTTACAGAAATCTTTTAGTAATCTTTCTCATTTTTTAAATTAATTGCATAGCATGTAACTTTATACAATTTCCTAAAAATGGGAATTTAGTTATTTCCAATGTATTACAATGATAAATAATACTGCATTTAATATGATAACATTTTGCATATGTTTTGTGCTTTTGGAAATGTATCTTCAGAGGTGAATTCCCGGGAGTGAGATGACTGGGGCAGAGAGTCAATATATATTAGTATAGTTTTTCCAAATTCCCCTCCACAGTGATTGTACCATTTTGCATTCTCACCAACAGTGTCTGAGGGTCCCTGTTTTTCCACAGCTTCCAGTTGAGTGTTGTCAAGCTTTTCACTTTCGTCAACCTGATAGGTGAGAAATGGTATCTCAGTGAATTTTAATTTCTCTTATGATTGAAGCTGAACATCTTTTAATAAGGTTAAAGGTCATCTGTATATCTTTTTGGTGAACTGTCTTAGAATCAGTGCTTTTAACAACTCTTAAACTGCCAAGTTTCACTTTATATATGTTTTCTTATGTATATGATGTATATTATAGACACTGAGATGCATGTGTGTGTGTGTGCATGCATAAATGACAAGTTTATTGTTCTCGTTTTCTACAGGTGATCTAATCTTTTTGTTATGTGCCCATGCTGAAAATTTGATGATTAGGTTGCCTTAGTTAGTCAAGGATGATCCCCTTTTTTTAATTTTGAGGAAAAAAAAAATACAGAAAAATACAAAAAATTATGTCCAATTACCCATATTGTATTTATTGCCAGTCATTTTTTTCTTCAAAATAAAATATAAAAAAAAGCAAAATTTCCCTTTTTTCACCACCCTTCCTGCTGTTCTTCTCTTTGCCACAGAGACAGCTACTTTCTGAGTTTGGTGTATTTCTTTCTAGTTCATTAAAAAAAAAGTACAGGGCTTCCCTGGTGGCGCAGTGGTTGGGAGTCCGCCTGCCAATGCAGGGGACTTGGGTTCCAGCCCTGGTCCGGGAGGATTCCGCATGCCACAGAGCAACTAGGCCCGTGAGCCACAACTACTGACCCATGTGCCGCAACTGCTGAAGCCTGCGTGCCTGGAGCCCCTGCTCCGCGGCAGGAGAGGCCACCGCGGTGGGGGGCCCACGCACTGCAGCAAAGAGTGGCCCCCACTCGCCGCAACTGGAGAGGGCCCGCCCACAGCAACGAAGACCCAACGCAGACAAAAATAAATAAATAAAATAAATAAATTTATTTTTTTTAAAAAGTACATATAATAAGTAATATAACATAAAAGTAATATAATAATAAAATATAATATATATGTATGTCTGTGGTCTGTGTCATGAATAATGTATAATATTACTTGTGTGCATTCTGAAATTTTCATAAATGGTACATGCTGAGCATATCATTCTGCATTGTGCTTCTTTCATGCAATATCATGTTTTTTTTTGGCTGCGCTGTGTGGCTTGGGGTATCTTAGTTCCTCAACCAGGGATTGAACTTGGGCCCCTGCAGTGAAAGTGCCGAGTCCTAACCACTGGACTGCCAGGGAATTCCCAGTATCATGTTTTTGAGATCCATCTATGTTGCTTTATAGTCCATACCTGAAATACCTGTTTTTGTGATATGTTAAGTCAAGGTTAGAGATAGAAAGCTGAGGTGTTAAAATAGAACCAGGTGTAGCTGGAGGAGAGAGACCCAAAGTGCTTTTTATACCCACTGGAAAAGATTGTAACCAAAAATTAGAAGTAGATATTGTTATTAACATTGTAGGACAATTTTTCTTACTTTCCTACATTTCCATTTTCCTTTATCTTTCGTAGAATTGTGTTTATATTTAACAGAGTCTTCATCAATAACACTGTAGGGTCAGACTAAAAAATAAATATACGTCAGTGATTACCATTTTGGGGTTGCCAGACCCCTTGGGTCCACAAAGATGATTACGGGTGTCCTTGAGATGTACTTAATAGTACAGAAAACCAAATGGAAATCATCAAACTGCCTAGGCTAACAGAAACTTTTGGTCAGTGTTGTCAATTCATTGGGTTGACATACTAGCTATCTCACTTTGGAAACTCTGTTAATTATATGTCTTTAAAATGGTTTTTAAAGATACAATTATGTATAGTATCTTAAGTGTATGGTGAGATGAGTTTTGACAAATGTGTTTATCAATACAACCAGAACTCCAATCAAGATCTTAAGTATTTCTATCACCCTAGAAAGTTTCTTGGTGCCGGTTTCTATTCTCCCTCCCCCTAAGAGGCAACCACTCTTCTCTTTTCTATCCCCATTGACTACCTTATTCTACAATGTCATATAAATGAAGTCATACAGTATATATTCCTTTGTGTCTGGCTTCTTTCTCTTAACGTAATGTTTTTGAGATTCACCTAACTTGATTGTATATATCAGTGGTCCTCTCTCTCTTTTATTTAAATTGCTGTGTGATATTTCATTGTATGAGTATTTGTGTATCCATTTTGGCCATAAATATTTGACCTTTCAATTTTTTTCTACTACAAAAAGGCTGCAATGAATATTCTTGTACAAGTGTTTTGGTAGCCATGTAGTTTCATTCCTCTGGGGCAAAATACTAGGAGTGGGTTTACTGGATTATAAGGTAAATGTCCGTTTAATTTTAGTGATATTTGTCTTGATTAATTGATGAGAAAAATGATTGTCACTTAATATACGCAGAGCCCTTTGTGTTGAAATGGTTGACTGTGTGGTTATTGCACTCACTGCATTTGTTTAGGAAAAGCGTAAACTTGCACATTCCTTGGGTTTGTTTCAATGTTTAGGTGAAATCTGATAATGAATATGAGATCCATTTTTACTAGTAGCTCTTTATTTGTCTTTTACCCCCACTTTTCTAATGGACTATTTTAGAAGAAATGGAGCTGTCACCCACATCAAGATTCAGAACACTGGTGATTACTATGACTTGTATGGAGGGGAGAAGTTTGCCACTTTGGCTGAATTGGTCCAGTATTACATGGAACATCATGGGCAATTAAAAGAGAAGAATGGAGATGTTATTGAGCTCAAATATCCTCTGAACTGTGCAGATCCTACCTCTGAAAGGTCAGTTACATTTTCGTAACTGCAAAGTCTGCATCTCTCCCACGCCATAGGTGTGAGGTGAATGCATTATGGGGGTTTGACTTCTGTTTCTCAAACTGTAATCTTAAAAGTGTTACTAAAGTAAGAGTACTAGGATCAGATTATTCTCAGAGTGGCCTTTTCTGGCAAAAGCTTCAGTCAGGGTTACTTACACTCGTTCTACAGAAGTCTCAGACTATTCCTGTATATACTTGATACATGCAATAATTTTAAGATTATTGACCTTGAGCGTTATTGAACTTTGAGTGTTAGGAGAGGAAAACAAATGATAATGGGAACATCAAAATAGCAGTTCCCTGTAGTAGCTTCTGACCAGCTATTCAGCAATGCCACCAACAGATGTCAGTTTAAGCTCAGAAGTGGGAAAGCAGAGGACTCGGTCAGATTTTTCCTCAGTTCTTTTATGTTATATCCACAAATGTGTGAGAATGACCCTAATTAGAGGGAATCGTATTATTTCAGAGATCTTTCCCCAGTGTTGGAAATAAGCTGATGAAAGCTGGGGCTTGACTTAACTTGCATTAATTTTATTGGTTTTCTGCATTCCCAGTCTCTTCTCTCTGACTCAGTACCAAATCAGGGTCTCTTAATTAGGTTTGAATATTTTCTGTCTTCAAGTAGGTTTCTTCTACTTATACGTTCGTGTCACTGGTATTTTATGCTGATAATTTGTTTTCCAGCCAAATTATTAAGCAAAAGCATGTCAGCCAACTCTGTGCAGTTTATTTAATTTTACTCTGTTCAGTTGAGGGTAGATGAAAAATACCTTGAAGTATATTCCTTTAGTGTTGAGCCATTAGCACTGTGTGCTGTGATCATGCTTGTTTCCTCACCAAGATCCTGAGGGAAAAACCCACATTATTAATACAACTATGTTAAGATGTTTTCTGTAGTAACTTAGAGTAGCACTGTTTCAAAGTCTGACCTCAGACGGTGCTGGCTAAAAATGCAGATTGCTGGGCCCGATTCAGACTTAGTGTATTGGTATCTCTCATTGTGAGGCATGGGAATTCACATTTTTAGCAAAATCCCTTGCCTCTACTCCAAGTCTTATGTGCATTAAAATTTGAAATGATAACCCAGTAGATAGTACAAAGATGTTGACAGCAAACTTGGAGGCTATTGAAATATAGATTGGAAATCTGGAAAAGCTTGGAATGCCTGAACTAATTTATAATGAAGATCCTTTTTAATGTAGTGTTTGCATGCCAAAGCAAGGGCAAACATTCAAATGATTCTCTGTCGCTACCATAACTCTCTATTATAACTTCTTTAAATGACTAATTAAATAGTTGGTCCTTTTAGGGTTTGGCAGTGGAGAAATGACAAACTGCCTTTTTAAAAGATGGGGGATTTAAAAGAAAATAGGAAAGATTGAGGATATTTGCCTCCAAATGATTGTGGGCTCATTTAAGGAGTTTAATGGTCATTCTTTTTTTTTTTTTTTTTTTTTTTTT